AGGGGTTCATCCAACAGTTGAAGCTCATTAATCCAATCCAGGCCCAAGAGATCAAGGCCTGTGTAGTTCGTGAGGTAACAAGTGCCACTGAGATGAATTCCCTTGAACGTTACGGAACAGTTCAGCTTCCCGGTCAGTTTGAGGCTTCCACCAGATGCATTACGAACGATGCACTTTGTGGGTTCCACTGGTGGCCTTCCAATTTCGTTCCAGGTTCGTTTTGAAATCAGAGTGAGGTCAGAACCTGTATCCAGTTGGAGAGTAACTGGTGTGCCATTGATACATAATGTGACAAATTTACGTCGACCAGGTGATTTCATCCTGAATGTGGCGGTCACAGCCTCTGCCTGCGTCCTTTTGTCGGGTCGGTGTTTGCGCGAGCTCCTGAAGTTGTCTCTGCAGCATTCTTCTTTGTGACCCTTTCGACTGCACTTACTGCACCTGTGGTTCCGGTAGGGACAGTGGCGTGAATAGTGCCATTCTTCACAAAACCAACAGGGTGTGGGCGGTTTTCTTGGAGTTCGTTTTGAACTTGACTTCCTTTTGGAAGTTACTTTGCATACCATATCCGGCTGAGATAATTTGGAATGTCCAATCATGGCAGCATCAGCCTTGAGATTGATAAGATGCTGGCATTCGGTGGTAAGTTTCTGAAGCGTCAACTCTGGATCCTGTTCAATTCGATTCAGTAGCCGGGTCCGAATATCTGCATCGTGTGGTGATTGAAGACCAGCCACAAAGATGAGACACTTGAATTGATCCTCGGTCATGGAGCTGAGCTGAAAGCGCTCGCATTCTCTGTTGACCACACCGGCATATGTGATGAAATCCTCAGTATCCCTTTTGGTAATCTTGAGACACTGATAACGAATATTGAACAAGGAACTTTGTTCACCGAATATTTGGGCCAGAATTTTGACAGCATCTGCGAAACCAAGGTCACGAGGGAGTTTGGGGAGAATGAAATTTGTGAACCGATCGTGTTCAGCTGTCCCCAGTTTCCGCAGCAACAGACGAACTTTCCACGCATCATCAAACTGAGCAAAGTCGGTTTGAAACATGTCTTCATATTTCTTGAACCAACTTTCGAAAGTTCGTCCAGATTCAGCATCAAAATTGAATTCGGTAATTGAGCTGGCAGCAGCATCTGCGGAAGAAGACGGAGGCTCACCCTTTTTTATCGCATTCACCGACATACTGCGCATCAGAGATTCAACAAGCCTCAGTTGTGCTTCTTCGAACTGCTTCTGTTGTTGCTGTAAAATTAATTGGAGTTGCTCTGCCGAAATTGACATCGTGGGTTCGGGTTGTCGCCAGTTGTTATAACTTGCTGGACGGTAGTGCAACTCTGTGTCGGTCCCTTGGCTTCCTGCTCCACCCACTATGGTATAGCAAAAGGCACGGTAGCTGTACACAGCCCTTTATGGAGACAAAGGAAAATCAGTACAACTGTTTATATATAGGGTAGTCACAGAGTGTTCCACAAGGTCGTGCCAGAATGTCCGTGAGGGGGCGAGAACCGTCGAGTCAAGGTGCTTGACTCGGATTGGCTGGCATTCTGACCAATCAGGGCATGCCTACGTCTGGCCCGTGTCCTGCACGTGACACATGCATCCAACTGATGTGATGTTCGGTTATTAGGGACGGCTGGCCCCCGAACACCTCCCCCTTGAGAGGGCTGTCCAACCGACTGCTGCTTTGGACTCCACTGTGATGACTCATGGAGGTTCTGTCGCACGTCGGTCCGTCCCTGGGGCTGCCAGCATGCTGATCTGGAATCCGGTACCCTCCACTTGGGAGGTATGTCACGGCTGTCCGGTTTCCAATGCGACGTGGTCCCCTCACCAGACCGCAGTCTGTTGCCTGAAGTTGGTTCACTTGACGCGGATGTGCTGATGTTCTTACGTGTGCCTCGTGTTTGACATCGTCGACCCTGCGTCCACCGTGGAGAGCATTCCTCATATATTTGAATCGGTGGCTGGTCTCTGTGTGACTGTTGTGGCGTCCCTTCTGCCGGCCCCACTTCCTTGACTTTCCGGATAGCAGTAGAACGATCCGCCTGAACCTGCGACTGTAAACTGAACGGTTCAGACCGCGGGTGAAACGTTGCGGGCTGCTGGCAGGGTTCACCAAATTGCACTGAGGTGAGAGGGCTACCGCTGCCGGACGCCAGAAGCTGAATAGTCGCTGTGTCGCGTATGCTCCATCTGGTCTCCGGTTTGGCTGTAACTGTAGCGACCACAAAATCGTCAGGACGTGATGTTCTCGTGAACGTATCGGGGCCATTTGCAGTTGTTTCGTCACAAACGGCATTGAGGGGTTCATCCAACAGTTGAAGCTCATTAATCCAATCCAGGCCCAAGAGATCAAGGCCTGTGTAGTTCGTGAGGTAACAAGTGCCACTGAGATGAATTCCCTTGAACGTTACGGAACAGTTCAGCTTCCCGGTCAGTTTGAGGCTTCCACCAGATGCATTACGAACGATGCACTTTGTGGGTTCCACTGGTGGCCTTCCAATTTCGTTCCAGGTTCGTTTTGAAATCAGAGTGAGGTCAGAACCTGTATCCAGTTGGAGAGTAACTGGTGTGCCATTGATACATAATGTGACAAATTTACGTCGACCAGGTGATTTCATCCTGAATGTGGCGGTCACAGCCTCTGCCTGCGTCCTTTTGTCGGGTCGGTGTTTGCGCGAGCTCCTGAAGTTGTCTCTGCAGCATTCTTCTTTGTGACCCTTTCGACTGCACTTACTGCACCTGTGGTTCCGGTAGGGACAGTGGCGTGAATAGTGCCATTCTTCACAAAACCAACAGGGTGTGGGCGGTTTTCTTGGAGTTCGTTTTGAACTTGACTTCCTTTTGGAAGTTACTTTGCATACCATATCCGGCTGAGATAATTTGGAATGTCCAATCATGGCAGCATCAGCCTTGAGATTGATAAGATGCTGGCATTCGGTGGTAAGTTTCTGAAGCGTCAACTCTGGATCCTGTTCAATTCGATTCAGTAGCCGGGTCCGAATATCTGCATCGTGTGGTGATTGAAGACCAGCCACAAAGATGAGACACTTGAATTGATCCTCGGTCATGGAGCTGAGCTGAAAGCGCTCGCATTCTCTGTTGACCACACCGGCATATGTGATGAAATCCTCAGTATCCCTTTTGGTAATCTTGAGACACTGATAACGAATATTGAACAAGGAACTTTGCTCACCGAATATTTGGGCCAGAATTTTGACAGCATCTGCGAAACCAAGGTCACGAGGGAGTTTGGGGAGTATGAAATTTGTGAACCGATCGTGTTCAGCTGTCCCCAGTTTCCGCAGCAACAGTCGAACTTTCCATGCATCATCAAACTGAGCAAAGTCGGTTTGAAACATGTCTTCATATTTCTTGAACCAACTTTCGAAAGTTCGTCCAGATTCAGCATCAAAATTGAATTCAGTAATCGAGCTGGCAGCAGCATCTGCGGAAGAAGACTGAGGCTCAAACGTTTTTGTCGCGTTCACCGACATACTGCGCATCAGAGATTCAACAAGCCTCATTTGAGCTTCTTCGAACTGCTTCTGTTGTTGCTGTAAAATTAATTGGAGTTGCTCTGCCGAAATTGACATCGTGGGTTCGGGTTGTCGCCAGTTGTTATGTCTTGATGTACGGTAATGCAACTCTGTATCGGTCCCCTGGCTTCCTTGCTCCGCCCACTATGGTATATCAAAACGCACGGTAGCTCTACACAGCCCTTTATGGAGACAAAGGAAAATCATTACAACTGTATTTATGGGGTAGTCACAGAGTCACAAGGTCGTGCCAGAATGTCCGTGAGGGGGCGAGAAGCGTCGAGTCACGGGTGCTTGACTCGGATTGGCTGGCATTCTGACCAATCAGGGCATGCCTACGTCTGGCCCGTGTCCTGCACGTGACACATCCGTCCAAATGATGTGATGTTCGGTTATTAGGGACGGCTGGTCCCCGAACACTAGGCGAGAGCGAAGTATCTCCAATTCAGGAGTTTCATTGTACGCGGTGTATAGACAGCTATGTCCATTTATTTGGTTCTTACATGCAGATTAAAGCCTAAACGAATTTGAGATACTGGCACCATCTGTCCTATTTAACAACGAACCCTGGGAACTCAAAACACGGCAGACCGTTCTCAACATTTAGGTGGTGCCATGTGCTAGTACTAGTCCTTTAAATGGTGAGCTTAAGATTAGTTGATATCTAAGAGATTCAAGTTTTACTGAGTACTGTTTCGAACGGCCACTGGAACAACGTTTCAATACTGGTAAGTGAGCCATCATCCAATTTGAGTTTTCCTGGTCCCTGGTTGTTTGTAAAAGGCTGTGAGCGTATTGTGGCTGTGGTACGCTAGAATTCCCTGACAGACCAAACTGCGAATTTAGCATCCATACTTTTGCATGTCACAGGCATAGTTGATGTAGATTGCTATGCATTTAGTGATTTCCATCTAGTCGCTACATGCCAGGCATGCCTAAAGGCACAGTCCAGTATTGCCTGGCGATGGTCATTCTTCTGACGGTACCTATTTTCCTACCATGATGCTCTGCAAACATCTAGCGTTAGATACGTGATTCGAAAAGTCGACAGGAGCAATAGTTCTAGAGGTAATACGGTTGGATTAGCTTGCCCCAGCTGTTTCGGTAACCCGAAAACCATTGGACGAACGTCGGGCATCCAAGATTCTGGAATGTTTTATTTCATGTTTGTGTTTTGAGGGCAGACGTTTTTCTATTTTCCATGTTTTCATTGAGTATCGGTATCGGTACGTTTTAGGCCTATTTTACCCCAGTTACGTCGCTTGCGAAAACCAGAGTATGGTGCAGTAGAGAATTTTGAACATTAAGTCTCTATGTCGCAGAGCCGAAAATACATATATACTCAATTGTAGGCTTGCGAGTACCTCACCATCAGTGCTGAACTCATTGCTTTAGTGATTTCTCAAATCTGTTACATTGTATCACCATAGATGAATCGGATAATGACATGAACAGCGTGCATGACGGTCACTCAAACTCATCCACCAGTTCCGTCAACACCGCACAGGCGGGCGCATGCCCAACTGTTGGCTGTAAAGGTTACGGACACGTCAAGGGCCCTCGCTATTCGTATCACCAGCGCGTTTCTGGATGCCCTTATGCTGATGCCAATTTAAAAAGAGATGTTATCCGTCCACACGAAAGACTGGCTTCTAATAACATTGCATCTCCAGTCCCTGACTCGACATCTGTGCCTCAAATGCCCCGACTCGAACAAGCTGCCTTACCTTTCAATAATACACCCGCCATGTTGCAGGATTCTATATCCGGACCCTGTCTCTCGCCGGACTCTAGTGTCAAAACTGATCCTTTTACATTATCTGGCGCCAACTCACCTGTGCTTCCCAATCCCACATCACATACGTGCAATCCACCCCGCACTGGCAAGCACAGTTCACTCACCTCTTGCCCTATAGTCCCGTCAGTGGAAATTAACGGTGTTACAGAACCTATGGCTCCTTCCGGACTCCCCGTTTCGAACGCATTCACACATGTTTATATGTGCGATAAACGCAACTCCGATAGTGTTCCAAAGTGTGAATTGAAGACCAACACAACTACTTCTGTCATGCCATTGGATTTATCGTTGGAGCGTGATAAGGTCGCTTCGGATGTAAATAACACTGCTGAATTGACTCCTTTCAGCGACACTAAGCAGGCCATTTTGAAACTAATCAGCGGTGAACAAAACAGTTCAGTCGGCAAAAAGTCGGGCAGTGTAATTGGCTCACCAATGGAGTAAGTTTTTGTCAATTTATACCATACTCACACCTTGCATTCCACTCACGTGAATTTACTCTCCAGCGATCTTTTAATGACTGGGATGTAAAAGTGAGCTTCGGATTAGTAACCCCTTATGCCTCCTCATTGTCCCTGAATAAAATGCGACAACCCCCCCCCCTCCGTCAAGACGAGTTATAGTTAACACTACGGTTAAAAAAGAAGTATACAAGGTATGCTTGCCCGGTCAACTTGACTTGATTGACCCTAGCTCCTGAAGGCATCAAGATTTCCAGAAGAAATTAGCCGATTTTGAAAGCACTAGGAGCTTAAGCTAATGGTTTGCACACTTTGGCATACTCAGAATATCAAATGAAGTCCAGCATTGAACCTAATCATCGAATCATAAAATGAGCTGTTTTGAGGTTATCATCTGGAATGCTGCGATGTGCCATTCAGTAGCCCCACACTTCCCCTATGCGTATGATCAAAGCTGTCTTTCTGCTCCTCATAAGAAAAAGCGTCAGGGATGAGAACATCATCAATTCGACCCTATTCTTCATTGACAGGCTAACGTGATATTATTATTGGGCTCATTCCAATAGGAAATTGAGCCTGAATTGGCTTCTCGCGTCTTTCCAGCTTATTTTGAAACATTGAATGCATACCTAATCATGCTAGAAACAAGTGAGATACTAACTAAACTGCCCGACGGGTCTCACTTGTTTATCTTTTGCTAAAACTTACCCATTGGGTACTCAATATTACAAAAATACGAATACATGGAGATATCCGATAGGCCTCCTCCGAGCAACCAACTCCATACACTGAACTGCTGCAGGAAAAGCAACTTGTTTTCAGCTTATTGCTGGGATTTTGTCAGGTCCTTTGTCCGTTGCCTCTGCATAACATGTTGATCTGTTTTCACCAAGGATATGGGTAAGGTCACGTGTAACAAGGTATATCATGGACCATTTACGGATCATGCCATCACAGTTGCCTTCCAGCACACTTAGCCACAGTACTAGCGGCCACTGACGTGTCGTACAGCGAGCGGAATGGGTCCTCAGCATATCCTCGGCGCTATCTACACTATGTATATTCCAGACTGCTGAGGGACTCTTCGCCACTACTCACTTCCACTGAGTGTATTTGAGACTTTTAGAAAGTGTCCGAGAACGAGTTAGAACAGAGTCCAGGTTTTCGAGGATAAGCAACGTTTTACTTGTCTAAGAACAAGCGCACATGAGCTGAAATGTACATACAAAAGTTCAGTACGAGTATATATGGTAAGTATAAGAATAAGCACACAAAAATCATGACATTCACCCCGACAGTGTTTGAACAGGCACATATGAGCTGACGTAGACAGGAAGTGATGTACTGAATCAAGCTTCTCTGTTCCTCAAACTGTAAGGATGAATGCGTCGCTGTTGTTCTAGAATCAAGGGATAACTCGGTTGGTGTTCGGAAGACGGTACAGAAGAAGATTCCGATGCTTGAGAGCTATCGGGCTGGCGTCCGGTTAGTTCAGTCGTATCTGGGTGTTCGGTATCCTCGTTGGATTCAGACAGATTGAGAACATTGTCAGTTGTACTCTGAACAGCTGGGGCTAGACGGCGAAGGGACACGGTTTCGACTCTTCCGTCTCGATGAGCAATGTGTGCGTAGTGTGGGTTGCAGTTCAGAAGGTCAACTTCTTCTACTAGTGGTTGGTACTTGGATGACCTATCACCTCGTTGCAGCAGAACTGGACCAGGGGTGGTCAACCAAGATGGCAACGATATTCCAAATGTTGATCGACGTGCGTATTGGAACAAACGTTCGTGTGGAGTACAATTAGTGACTGTACATAACAATGATCGGAGGCTGTGTAGAGCATCAGGGAGTACTGATTCCCAACGGGAAGGCGGGAGATTGTGAGATTTCAGCGCTAAGCTTATTGTTTTCCAGAGAGTACCGTTGAGACGCTCAACTTGACCGTTACACTGTGGATTATAAGCTGATGTATGACTCATAGCAACACCTTTCTCCAGAAGAAAGCTATTGATCTCAGACGACATGAACGATGAGCCTCTGTCGGAATGGATATAGGCTGGCATTCCGAACAGACAGAAGATTTGTGTGAGACAGTCAATCACAGTTGCCGAGGTCATATCCGCACACGCAAATGCAAATGGGAATCTAGAGAACTCGTCAATTATAGTGAGTAAGTAGCGGTTGCGTGTATTAGATGGCAAAGGACCTTTAAAATCCAAACTCAGACGTTCAAAAGGTTGTGTTGCTTTAATGAGTCTACCAGAGGATTTCCAAAATCTTGGCTTCAGTTCAGCACACACTTTGCAGGAGGAAATGACGCGCTTGACATCGTCGACGGAGTAGGGGAGATTCTTGCAACGCACAAAATGAAACATACGGGTAATGCCTGGATGGCAGAGGGAGTTATGGAGCTCTCCGAGTTGGTTATTGCTCCCCATGGAAGCACATACGTTTCGTGACAGAGTGTCGGCGACATGATTGTCCTTGCCAGGTCGGTATATGACATCATATTTGTACTCGGACAGCTCAATCCTCCATCGTTGTATCTTGTCGTTTTTCACTTTACCCTTCTGTCCACCGCCGTACATGAATGAGACTGAACGCTGATCGGTGATCAGTTTGAAGGGTCTTCCGAGTAGATAATGCCGCCATTTCCGGATGGATTCAACGATAGCGTAGGCCTCCTTCTCGATGGCAGAATGATTCTTCTCGCTCGGATTGAGTGTCCTCGAGAAAAAGGCTACCGGCCGACGGTTTTGGCTTAGGGACGCGGCTATAGCCACATCGGAGGCATCCGTTTCAACAACCAGAGGCTCGTTATAATCTATTGTGATTAGTGTAGCATTTTCTAGTTCGTTCTTTAGGTTGTCGAAGGTCAACTCGACGTCGGCAGGTAGGGGAAAAGTTTTATTCTTTACCAGTTTGTTGATTTTGTCGGAAAATGAGGATATCCAATGAGCATAATATGCAAACATACCGATGATACGTTGCATTTCCGTGGTAGTACGCGGAAGAGGTAACTGACGGATGGGTTCCATGCGTTCAGGGTCTGGTCTAATGACACCCTTTGAAACCTCATAACCTAGGAGGCGGATAACTTTTGAAGAAGTGACTGTTTTGTCATCATTAAGAGTGATCCCATACTTCCTCGTAGCTCTCAAAAACGACTGGAGATTGAGATCGTGTTCCTCTTGGGTCTTGCCACAAATAGTCACATTGTCTATGTAGGCATACGTGCTTTTCAGCTTTTCAGTCGTAATGATATTGTTAATAGTTCGCTGAAAACACGCAACACCGTTTGTGACACCGAAGGGTATGCGACGAAACTGAAACAGGCCACCACATGCTTCGAATGCTGTAAAAGGTTTGTCGGATGCCGAGATGGGGACTTGATGGTAAGCAGACAAGAGGTCTAATGTACTATAGACTTCGTAGTGCGAAATCTCCTCAATCATTTTGTCCAAGCGTGGCAGAGGGTAAGCGTCCAGATATGTGAACCGGTTGATAGTTTGGCTGTAGTCAACAACCATCCGGCGTTTGTGATTGATACCCTTAGTAATCAAAACCTGCGCTCTCCAGGGAGACGTTGACGGTTCGATGATGCCTTCTTGCAATAAGCGGTCAACTTCGGCGCGAATGAATTTTTCATCATCCGGATGATGCCTTCTTGATTTGGTTGCAACAGGCTTGCAATCTGGAGACAAGTTGGCGAAAAGTGATGGTGATTCAACGTTTACAGCCGTCAGGCCGCAGATGGTGAGCGCATCACGATCCCCGCCGAATGAAATTTCTACCTTGCCATGTAGACCTAGAAAGTCATGCCCGAGTAAAACGTCGGTGCAGAGGTTTGGCATTACAAAGAGCTTCAGTTCACTGTATGAGGTATCTCTGTATCGGACAGAAACACAAGCGTAACCAGTCGTTCGACAAGATAGGGATGTAGACGCCATTGTGACGACTGAGAAAGTTGGATAAATTTTCCAATTATGCAGTTTCACGACCTTAGCGTTAATGAAACTGCAAGAACTCCCTGTGTCGACCAGAGCACGGAGAGTGATGCCATTGACTTCGATAGTTGCGATGGCATGCGCCAGGCAGGTAGGAGCTGCTGCAACGAATAATGACGATAAAGTAGGCTTTGTTGTACAACTTGTGTGGAACTTGGAGGTATTTTTTGAACGGCACACGCGGCGGAAGTGACCGCGTTTACCACAAAGATTGCAGACGGCTTCGCGAGCGGGGCACTTTGGACGAGGATGTGCATCATAACCGCAGAAATAACATGTCTGAATGGATTTTACAGCAGCAGTGGTGGGATCAACACGCAGTTCGGGATTCTGTGAAATGGGTGGAATCGTAGAGCAAGATATGGGTTCGTTACTAACATATGACTGTGACTGTTTGTGAGCCAATTCGAGGGATCTAGCCAGCTGATATGTTTGGTCCAGAGTGAGTTCGCTTTGTGCTAGAAGCTTCTCGCGGATGGATGTGGACGCCAGGCCATTAATTATAGCATCACGCACGCACTCATCTTGATATTCAGTTGCAGACACAGATTTAAACTCACAGTCTTTGGCTAATGATTTCAGTTTTTGTACGAACTGATCGATATCTTGTCCACTCTCCTGTTTGTAGGTCTGTAGCAGGTAGCGTGCATATATGACATTTTTTGGACGGACATATAATTTCCGTAACGTGGCGATTGCAGATTCATAGTCGGTGTGATCAGCAATGTGATCGTATACTAATGGATCCACAAAGTGGATGAGAGTTTCAAGTTTGTCGGGTTTAGAAGATTCGACGGTTTTCAGATAGGTTTCGAAGGTACGAAACCAGTGATTCCAGCGTTTTGCTGCATCTGCGGAGTTTGGGTCAGCGTCGAAGAACCGAGGTCGTAGTTGCGGGTCCATTGTGTTCTTAGACAAGTAAATTGAGACGTTTAGAAAGTGTCCGAGAACGAGTTAGAACAGAGTCCAGGTTTTCGAGGATAAGCAACGTTTTACTTGTCTAAGAACAAGCGCACATGAGCTGAAATGTACATACAAAAGTTCAGTACGAGTATATATGGTAAGTATAAGAATAAGCACACAAAAATCATGACAGTATTGTCGATAGAAAATGAAATATTTGTTATTCTCGGTTTGACAACGCAACAACAAAGTTGTATAGGAAGTTTCTACCGTGCTTGTTGCGATTTAATTGCACCAAGAATGTCGTCGTTTTTTTCGTCATTTTTTCTGTCAAAGTTCCGGGACAGACTAAAACTAATGGATTAGTTACCTGTAGTGGTGGTGTGGTTTCTTGGGGTTAATCCTATCGTCTGTCGTAGTATTCTGATAAGAGAAAGCAGTCCCGTTGCTCATTTTCGTAGGTTATTAGAATAGAGGAGCATATCATGCTCGGATTGGGACTGTGTAATGACCAGTATCTAGAACCCTATGCCGAGCCTATCCAGTTTATTCGGTACGATTCCAGGGGTATGAGGTATTCGCCAATAGTCAAACAGCTCGCAATTAACTGTGAGAAACTCGAAAACTGCAAGAATAGGCGCAAACGCATCGACTGATCTGCTTTCAACGGGGTGCGTATCCTGTTGGCCTGTCTTTTTTTCAACCCGAGTTCTAACAACGTCCTCGGACGTTCAACCGATAGCTCGGTTTGTGTCTCCTTCACTTAACTGAATCCACCCTACTGTGAACTTACCCAGAGGAGTATATAGTGAACTTTAGGCTTCCTCGCTTACTGACAATATGTTAGTTGAAATTTAAAACATACTGGCGTTTCCAAGCGGCCAACGCATTTTCTCAATAGCCCAAAATTAGCTGTGTGCACGTTGAAAAGCCTACGGATCAAGCGCAGTCTTCGCACCTGATCTCACAGGCCCATTAGCGACGACTCACCATAGTAGACCCCGTTGATAAGTAAGCTTACCGCCATGTCGGTCTATGGACACGCTCAACTTTGTAGGACGAACGTAAGAAGGAGATGGTAATGCAACCTACGGACCGTGAATAACCCACTGCAATCAGGCGTTGACACGTGAATCCCCCATCCATAAGCTAGTTTGACGGGTTTCCATAGCCTGCCTCCCAGGCCCCTGTTAGGAATTGCACAGTATGGCGATGAAGCTGCTTCACGTAACGCACAAACTGTGCAACTGATCGAAAAGAAGCTTAGAGCGTATGTGTAGAACAAGATTTTGCAGACAGTTATGAGAGCACAAGCACCCGACTTCAGGGAGATGAAAGTTATAAACATCAAATTCATAGAAAGAAATCGTCCGTCTGTAATATCCTTTCGCTACCTAGCTGCCTTGCCACTCGAAGGAAGCATGAGGGCTGGGATACTGCCAGGTTGCTCAAGCCTAGACAGGAAAAGTGGTGATGCAGAGGTCGGGTCCGAACCACGGGCCTTCCTGTCAGCGAATTCGCGCTCCAGCCAGTGAGCCCTCTTGCCCCCGATTTAAAGCCCCAACCATGCCAAGAACAGTTTGGGAAGTTTTAAAAGCCGTTTGATGACACAGTGAAATTTCATGCACACTCATCACAAAAATTCGCAGTTCGTCTTCGTGGACCAGTTTGTGTTGCTTAGGTGGACTTCGTTCAAAACTATTCTCAAGTGCGAAATCAGTATATCTTATCTATATTTATCGGGTGCTTTCGACGAAAACAGACTTGCATTAGACTTTCAACCCCGGATCGGCTGCTTTAGTATGTGGGGACTACTCTTATCCAGGGGGCGGTACTTGTTTGCTTGGCTGGTGTACAGCGGCCTATCTCCAGGCCTTTGAGCTGGCCCTGGTAACAAACTACATTTCCTTCCATGTTCATGATCACGAACGGTAGCTTGACCGTCTCGCTGTCTAAGGCGCCTGTTTTGGTGGGACGCAGGTAAACTGCTCACAGTGGTTAATATGAATTCAAGTATGCAGGGCTCACTTTAATAGCTTTTGCCTGTCTGGGCCACATCAGCTGCCCAACCTCAATTTTCCGTAGCAAAATGCTCCGCCGTGTACTTGCCTGCAATACTGTTCGATTTAACAGAAAGTGACTATAACCCGGAATTTCACTTTGATGAATTCGACCCCTCACCAAGTATTTCTTCTAGTCCATTGTTGAAGATCGTCTGCAAAAATGACAACTGGATCATTCAACGTGAAACAGGCAACAAATCAACAGCTTCAAGCTAACGATAGAGTTTCTTTCCCCAAACTCATTTAATGAGTACTGTAACCATAGTGTTTAAAAAATGTCACATGAGTTTTTTCACTTTTTCTCGGATGATGGGCCATCGTGAACTGCCTCGTAACTCGTAGGAAAAAATAATTGGGTTGATGCCAGAGTACCAAGTTCCGTAGGGGAGTACATACTCAAGTTTTTTCTTATATGACAGATGCCTTCTGGAAGGCTATTTGGCTACCCTTAATTGTAACCGACTTCTAGTTGCATTTTATGTAAATTTTGACTTTGGGCATTCAACAGTCTGTCCGATTTCGACAGTCTGGATGGTCTTATATTTTTATTGCGGTCGTTATTGTGTTTTTCTCCGACCGCTGTTCCATCAGGGACTTCGAGAAATTAACACTCAGTCTGTGGATTCCTCTTGCTATTTTCGGGCCCCTGGAAATTTGTAGTCCTAGGATTAAAATTATGATTCTGCTGGATCCCACAGACAGACTGAACGACGAAATCATGAAGTCACATAGTTTTCGCCTCAACTCCACCAGGTTTCCATTTAAAAGGATGATGTCCCGAAAACTGCGTAAAAGCAAGAAACTAGTTAAGATCTTTTATTTTATGATAAGTATTTCAAACAAGTGTAATGGAATGGACCGTCCGTTAGAAAGAGTTGCTGAGTAAATCTGCAACCATACCGTGCTATAAATCGTTCATTGTTTATATCGGGCGGAAAGCATTATTTGCATACCATGGCAGGAATTTTAAGAAATCGACTCCAGTTCGGTTTCATTTTGTTGCTGAACACCTTGAAAAGTCTTTTTTGTTGCTATTACACTTCTTTGGATTATTCTCTCCAGTTTTTGGTGATGAGCAGATTGATCTTAAAAAACCTAACTGTTCCATACAAAAATAATGTAGTACCGTAACCAACGCTATCCTGTCCGTATGTACACAACAGACACAGACAATTTTGCGTAGTAAGTGGCGGTACTGGCGCAACGAACTGAGGTTTTAGTTCCGTCCAGCACAACTAATTAGGTTATTTGCACTTCGCTACCCCAAGCTTTTAAGATGGGTTATCAGTCTTTCAGCACGCAGAAAAATTTTCCACTGAGTGTTGGACTGACGAAGAACAACTGGTGCACCCTTTCTGTCAGGAGATCCTGATATGAGGTTTAACACCTTCCTCTATTGTCAGATTGGTTTTTAGTATTAAGAAATAGGCATGGTTTGCATCCTGCGGTGAGCGGATATGGCAGACTTTTGATGGTTTACGTGTCCCTTGCGGAACACCTAAAATGTATTGCTTCCCAGTTGCATGAGAGTCAATTCATTATTGTACAAGATCCCACCATCAGTAGTTTTCACCGTTGTATAATTTGTGGTCATTTTTATATTGTCTTGTCGGGCAACCATCCGACTATTATAATCTCTGTCACTGAAAACCAATGCCTTTTTTGCCTGGTCCACTCGTTCGGTGAAAGCGGGCAGAGCTTGCCTGACTAAATTGTGTTAACTTTGTTTCATCGAAACTTTTCCTAAGTGATAAAATCCCAAGGAATGCTAGGAACAAAGCCAAAACGAAGAATTAAACATGAGATAAACTTGTGACCTCATGGCTACTTTGTGTCCCTGGCCTACGTATTCGTTTGCTGCAAAACCCGCCTCATTACGAAAGACAATCGTTTTGCGCACGCTGGCCACACGAATCAGGTCTAAACGTCATACGAGCAGAAATAGAAGTTTTCAGAAACCAGTGAGACCTCATAGATGGGACGATATAGTTTTTACGCAGCTTCCATGGTGTGAGCAGTTCCGGCTTAGAGGGAAATTGCCTAGCTGTGGCATCTTTCAGTGCCGTGCTACTCGAAGGAAACACGAGGATTGTGCTACAGCAAAGTTATCCAAGCACATGTGAATTCTGGCCTCAGTAACGTTCCTCTTCCTGCTCAATAGTGACTTCAGCATGCGAGAAAGGGCCCTTCCGATGAGCAGCATTCGAATTGGTTTCAGGCAGGTCGAGATCGCTCCCTCTCTGACCATTAATAACAGTCAGGAGTAACGTACGAGCCAATCGAAATGTTTCTGCGCAAGGTATCCCAGACCCTGAACCTAGCTCTTTTATCGGACCCTGGGGAACCGCTTGATCGGTTTTGCCAATCCCAGCTGGTATCAGTCGGGCTGCCCGAGCAAGCGTGATGAGGGAACGCATACGCCGTGCGAATGCGCTGTTTACGGTTGCACTGATGTGTTATCATGGATTCTGTCTGGCTACGCTCACACGCTCTGCCATTCGTCCACGCTTTCGGTCTGATTGGTCCACACAGTGAACAAGGTGACTCAGATCCTAGGGTGATTGGACGCTTGATTGCTGATCATGTGGGGTTTTGCGATGGGCGCTGGATGACAGGCAAGCCGACGCCCGAAAATGGGCCAGGTGGCCCTCTCTGAGTCTGCTCCCCGTCCTTGTGTCAAGATGTAAGTCACCCTATGTTTTTTCGGACATGTTTCGGTAGCTCTGTACTTCGGCTGACCAGGTTCAGTGCCTTGGTGTATCGTTAGGCCAGAAATACTTGCACGAACACTAGTTGTTCACATCGTATCTCGACAGTGATTGTTGTCATACCGCATGAATATCTAGATATCCTAATCCGGTTGTTTGAGGTTTTTCGAGTTTTCTTCTGTTCGCGACACGATTTAGTATGAACGGATGGAATCGCGTGAAGAGCATCTGCAGAATCTCAATTTTTTTAGAAATACTTCACAGCAAGCGTACTGATGTTCACTTGTTTTGATATTCTCGGTTAGACGTGGTTCATACCAAAAATTTCATGCCAGATCCTTGTGGAAGTTTGATCTAGCCTCAGACCAATCCTCAGATTGTATCCACATAAAAAGTGCGAGGAATCTAAGGAAAATTCTTGAATTAAGGGCGGCGCATCGTGAGCGATGATAGTATTTCCGATTTCTTGATGTCTGGCTCAAATCAATTGATACAGTAAACCGGGATCGGTCAACCTAGAAATCAATAGCAAAAGTTCCAAGTGTTCGTCAGGACTGACACGGTGTTTGAGAGTCACACGGAGATAAGACGTGTTTTTTTGGCCGGTAAGGGCCAGCATTTTCTGTACAGAACGCCTCTGAAAACTAAATTGAGACTTGTAAGTGTGCCAGTGGCTGCGGCACTGGCTAAGACCCTAGGTCTACCTATTTTCAGTAACCTTAGTGGAACTTTGTAACCGGCTCCAAAGACCGCTGTAACGTTGGTCTGATGTCCTATATCATCGCCATCATCCGCGGTAAGAACCGCGTACTTGCCGTACAATAGTTCAAGCTGCCACGTTTTCGTTCACTGATTTGGGGAGGTGCGGGAGATAGCTACGCATTGGAGGCGGTAACTGATATAAATGGTGCGCAAATGCAGTGACGCAAGGGGAGTTTTTATTAGGAAGATAAGGAAGGGACCTATCTTTCGAAGGCAACAGCTCGGATGCATGAGCGCCATTGGGCGCGCGACCGAACCATGTCTGCCTCTAACCATTTATGTCCCGTTTCAGGATCCCATCCAGATAGGCGACAACAGCTCAGCTGAGTTTGACAGCAATTGCGTTCATACTTTGTTGCTAAGTCATCGTTTAACCTCCCCTGGCTCGTTTCCGCCCTTTTTGTGGTTGTGCAAGAAGGGCTTTTCGAGGAATTCGGTTGACTGGCATGCGGAGCACGTGGCCAAGCCAGCGCAACCTATGGAATGCGGTCAGTTCATCTATCTTGGGCGAGTTATTCCTTTCGAAGACCTTCCGACCTACTTTAGCATTACTGACCGGGTGTTCCAACCACAGTCCAGACATCGATGGTCAAACACTGGAAGTCTTTGATGTCCTGAGCTCTCAGCGGCCAGGTTCCTCATCCGGATAAGAATACCACCTTTGCCTAGACCATCCGTACTGTCCAGGTAGATAGATTTATCCACTACTCCAATCGGCTCATTCGCAAGCTTGAGGTTAGGGTTCTAGCCAACTAGTCTTGCAGCAGCAAGGTATGAAGCGCATGCCAAACTGGGACAGAACTATTTAGACTATTTGATGCTGCAAAACCATGCTTGGGTCTTGGGTGCGTGTTTCGGACACAGCTTACCTACATTCGTGCATTTCAGTGAGCATTGCCTGTTTCCCAATTTGACATAGAGTAGGGATTTCGAAAGGTCCTATGTAGAAGACCTTTTGTAGGTTTAGCAAGACGTTATTTTGTTCATTGTTAATAGGCGATGGGGTGCATCAGGTCCATTGGTCAGTTAAATGTGCCAGCAACGTTTATTTGTGTGGTGGGAGGAGGTTGAGGAGGGACATCGGTGGACACAGAACTGTGCTGGCAAATTACAGTTGCTCAGACTGAGGAGGCGGGTTGGTTGAGATATCTCACCTTGAGCCTTTAACTCAATAATTTGAACTGCTCAGTTGTAAGGGTCTGTTCTAACCATAGGACACAGGGAATAAGGCATTATTGCCTGGCTCCCAATGTGGCTGCGCACAGGATGTGCCTTTCGAGCAGCACCAGACCGTTTGGTTTTAAAAGTATTTCCACCTTAATGTATAGTGCTCCAGCGCTCACAGTCAACCGTTGGGTGATCGGACTTTTTGGTTTTCAGAGCCATCCTTTTCTAACCCATCTTTCCTCGGGGAGAACTTAGCACCGCTCCCTCCATAAATATGGACATGCTGGTCTTCTGGAGGAAACACCTTACTGCCTTCACACTACTATCGCGGAGGATTGTACAACTTTACCCCCAGACCGTCTCGTATTACGATTATTTGTAGTATGAAGTCTCGCTGCTCTTGTTTTGGGTGCTCTCCTCTGGCCACCCTGGCTTGGTTGCCCCTCGTGGAACCAAGTTACAGCCATGTATACCGCAGAATCTTGAGCCATCAAATCAAGGTGGAAGCTTTAGGTTGGGTGTCCTTTATCAAGCAGGTGGGTTAAACTTAAAACTGTAGTGCTTTGAGAAAATTCGGTGGAGCGCGTTCGCATATACCCCTGGCTGTTCGATTAATATACCTGTCGTCACAGGATCGGATACATCAATAAACACATAGGTCATCTGAGAAAGAAGCTTGTCTTTCGTGTGCTGTCGGCTGAAGGGGCTAATGGTGAAGTTGGCTCATAACTCAACCGTACTTTTTGTTAAGTTTTCGAACCAGAATTCTACTTGCTTGGTGCACTGTATGGGTTATAATTGTTTCTCCAGAAGTCTGGATAACCATTCTGACCCTAAACATGCTTATAAGGAGCTTTGTTTCCCCCTTTAAGCTATCCGAAAAATTCCTTCCAGTTGTAGCATTTAGACGACGTAACCTATTTCATTTGATTTTTAAGGGAACGAGGTTTCCTATAAGTTTACTTCCAGCCGTTGACTAAGTTTCTACACTATGACCAGGCCCGGACTTTAGGCCAGTCCTTGACCATCACCTGTTGTTAGAAAATGATAAACCCATAGGAGAGCTAGTCTGAAATGGGGATGGGTCTCGAGTAGATGGATAGTGTGGAAGGAGAGCGGCGAAGGGGGGATATGTAAAGTTCCGGAAGGGTTAAAGATAGACCCCAGCTGTGAATGGCAACACGATGTAGCGTGCTCGCTGTCGTCAATTAACTGAGATGAGGCCGATTGCTTGGGTGGTTACGAAGTGGGGTTGCTGGGTTGCAAATTCATAATTGCAATGAGACGGTTGAAAGTAGGTCATCTATAGTGAGCGCAAAACATATGGAAGATGGAGAGGAATCGTCCGCGTAACTGTCGTGGACTTGAGAAATGGCGCCTTCTAAGTGAACTTGTGCACAGCGATTCTCTAAGAAGTTCTCGATCCGATAGGTCGTATTTAGGTACACAGATAACTCACTGTTAGAGCGGCTGCCACTAAATCCACATTAGTGACTACTCAGTGGGGCATCGCATTCAACGTCACGCAAGAGCTGTGTGACCAAAATGTATTCCATAGCTCTGGGTAAAATTAAAGTGATTGCGATTGAGTCAGAAAGCGATCCATGTCTGTGGATAAGGGGTATTTGTGAAATTTTCCGAGAAGAGGGTACAAATTCAATTGGTAGGGGTAGATGGAATAGACGAGTGCTTATAGAAAGGCGAGTTCCAGAGCACGAGTTCGGAGAGGAAACGGTGGGATGCGATCTGCATCGGAAGGCTTTGAGGTCTCAGTGGAGGAAAGGGACTGGCAAAGTTCCCAGTGGTAATGGCGGGGAGGGCCGATTGAGTGAGCGTCTAATAGATTTCGAGAGAAAATCTTGTGGCGCGGGACTTGATGTCTCTTGGGAAATCCCAGGTGGCGGATGGACATGTGAATGAACGCAAGTTACAGTTTCAAGATTGCAGAACGATCGACTTCTAGCACTAGATGACTTATTAGCCGTGCGGTTAATGAACATCCTTGACCTTGTTGATGGTGACAGTGGGAGTTATGAGCAGTCATCTACGTGTGTCTATTGGAAAGCACGTTCACCAGAACTTTCTCGGTCGACAAAAACAGTTTAAGTTCTATTTGAGATCAGAACACAATGGTTTAAATCAGTAATCTCAATAAATTTCAGTCGGACATTTATAAATAGTTTACAAGATTGAGGGGATCTTTTCGGTTAAAACTCAGAAGTAACTGGTCTTCGAATGAGCCTTCGAGTTCCTCTCAGAGGGTTTTTCGGTTTGCCCGGGTGAAATCAGTACTTTCACGTGCCTTTTAGTGGAAGTATTAACGCAACCTAACCGCAGTCGCGCTTATCACGAGTTCGTTTTTTTTACGGATGACCTTCGAACGATTAGGCGGTATTCGATAAATCACGTTGAACGATTGAACTACGTTGACTTGGTGGTTTGCATCGATCAGGTGGTTTGCAGTTACACTAATCACGTGCTTAGCTTCTCCGGTTCGAATGCAGTATGACAAATGCTCAGTCATTCTCCGGGATAGATAGTCGTAAGACCCACGTAGTTTAGAGAAAACCCGCAAAGAACTAGACTAACGCTGAAGAATCGTACTCGAATGGTACAGGATCCCCACGTTACCGTAACTGCCGGGAACCGTTTATGTGTGCAACTGTACAACAATATACAACCATCCGACTTCATAATACCACCCGACCAAAAGGCCCGGGTGGACGATTGGTTAAGGCAGTGGACTGCAATTTCAACGAGCTGACGTCGGACACCATGTG